GAATTTTGGTTTTCTTCATTCTTCTTTGCTCTGGATGAGGAGAGACCCATCATTGCATCTAGATGGCAGCTTGCTAACTTTTAAGATCCCAGTCAAGTAGGAGGTGGAACAGTGTTTTGTATAGTATGTTAGATGGCAGTCAGTTTTAAAGTATGAGATAATAAACCTGTGTTTATTAATACCATCCACTTGCGGTATTTCTGTTATAGCAGCACTAGATAACTAAAGCAACCTGTAAATCATAAATGCAAGAAGGGCAGGAACTTTTATTTGTGGTCTTCACCCCTGCATCTCCAGTCCCTAGAACAATCTGACATATAGTCAGCATTTAATAAATATTTTGAGAAAGAGTATATTCACCTGTATATTCAAAAGTCACCAATGAGGTATTTTTTCATCCTGAGATTTACACCCGGTTAAGCATATTGACATACAGTAGATGCCCAATAAATGCTGAAATTTATATCAACCTTGCACATAGAACTTTAGATCCCTGTGAAATAATCCTTGTTGAAGAACCAAGAATTGAATGAACCCAGTTTCTAGGAAGCACATGTCCTTGTACTATACCAGCTGCTTCTCATCTGTTGGGTGCTTCTCATTTAAAAAAAAAAAAATCCTGCCATTATTAAGCTTATATAGAGACACTAATGCAGGGAGCACTTGGTTCTAATTCAACACAAGAGTCACTCCTTTTTTCCTGAAGTATTTTCCTTACTATCTGGAAGAGCGACTGTAGAAGAGGAAAATCCTTGTCTTTAGAGTGATGCACGTTCTCACCCATTCAGTTCTTTTTCAATACATTGTTGTTGTTGTTGTTGTTATGTGCCGTCGAGTCGGCCCCGACTCATAGCGACCCCTCCTTGGGTTTCCGAGGCAGTATCACTACGGAAGTAGGATTGCCCAACCTTCCTTCCGAGGAGTGGCTGGTGGGTTTGAACCGCCAGCCTTCTGGTTAGCAGGCAAATACATTAGCTGAGTTCAAATCACAAATGCAATTCACTGGGGTCACTTGTAAACAACACAAACTCTTTAACAATTGTTTTAACAATTTAAAAGGGAAGTGGTAAACTTTTCTAATAATTTATCTTTAAAAAGTTACGTAGCTCCAATTTAATAACACCCTCCTTAAAAACGACTGGGTAATGGAGGAAATAA